TTGACACTCAACCACGGAGCCAAGCCTGCCGGGCAAGAGCTGGCGTTCGGACCAGCAGGGGCTCTTCCCACCTGGAACGTGCCTGTCCTCGCAGAAGAACGGAGGCCTGAGGAACGGTCATCCGCCGCTTAAGGAACCACCACTTTCAATCCACTGCCGCTGTAGGATGTTTCAGATACGTAGTATCCTGCCTGCCATGGCGTCCCACTTCATTTCATGAGCGTGGCCATAACTTCTAGAGCCCACGGGGCATCTAAGAACTTGTCTAAGCCTAGGATTCCCCCAAAAGGGAGCCTGAAGCAAAGTGTATGCAATGACACATTTTGAGGCGGGGGGGGGGGGGGGGGGTGGCGGGGGGAGGGGGTGTGTTTCAACATTTCAGAAGGAGTGAGGGGAAACAGGCAGGGCCCCAGGGAAGGAAGAAGCGTGGTATGCATACTGAGCAGGTCCCAGCTTTGCCAGGGAGCGCAGCCCATGGCTCGGACACACAGGATAGATTTGAGTACGCCGTATGGATGGAGAAAGGGAGGTGGATTGCTTACCAGATCTCTCCAGACCCTTTTCTCTTGTGGATCAAAATTCATGTCATAGGAGTTAGCTCCCACATGTACAGGTGGTCTGCAGTCAGTCGCTGGGGAATCAGATCCCACGCTCTACAGTGTGGGACTTCACTTGAGTAGGGGACTTTGGTAGAAGCCAACACCCTTGTGCGTATGGTCAGGCTGGGCTTGGGACCACTGCAGTTGGGGTCCTTGCCAAGGTGGGCACCCTGGGAGCCTCACAGAAACTCAGCTCTCGCCCTGGGGGAGGCTGCGATACCAGGGGTTGAGGAGATGGAACAATGGTGGCGATGGCTGTCCTCTCCATTGAGCAACATGAGGAGGCAGATGGAGCCAAGCAAATCTGAGAATGGGCCCCAGTGGGCTCCAGTACAGTCCATCCCTGGCATGATTCAGAGTTGCTCACACCCTTCTATGATATTTGGATATTAAGAACAGCAGCACTGATGGCCCCTGGTTCCTGGGGAGCAGAGCCTGAAGCAATGCTTGCTTGCTAACACTTCACTGAGGGATACAACCCTGGGGCCACAACAATAAGGGGGAAGAGGAAGTGCAGCAAAGAAGGAGGAAAGCAAACACAAAACGGTGTGTTGCCAAGATGGCCATCTCTTCAGAAAAAAAATATTGTCAGTTGCTCGTTCATGCCTTTTAGATATCTCCTGTCTCCAATATTCCATACTTGACCCAATCTAATATGGCCAAATGGAACCACTGCAATCCATATGCAAGGTTTAACTCTCCTCCATTTCTGAGTAGTTTCCTGGCCTTTGTAGGCAGATCCCAGGTACCATGCTGTGGGCTGCCATAGGAGTCCAGAAGCGAGGAGAGGAGCCAGAGTCTCTCCACGTCCTGCGGTGGCCTGAGGGGGCCCATGACAGAGCCTGGTGTTCACCCTAAGAAAGGCTAGGATGTTCCATGGCGTTAGAGGGTCAGGTGACATTCAAGAGGCATATAGATTGGATCACGTATGGCACATTGAAGGCCAGAGTGGATAATGCAGGCTTTCTAACACCTGCCCAGGTTCTTCCAAAATACTGGACCTCTAGCTGGGGGTGAGTGGCTGTGGGATCCTGGGTAAGTCACATCCCTGACCTTGTCCAATGGAGCAATTACATGTGACTCAGAGTTGTGAGAATTGGGTTAAAATGTAAAGAACAGTTTTAAGTGGCCCTGCTGGCGTGGCTCAGTTATTGACCAGGAGGGAGGTCAGGGTTTGATTCCCAGTCAGGGCACAAGCTGGGGTTGCAGGCATGATCCCCAGGAGGGGGCCTGCAGGAGGCATCCCATCAATGATGTTTCTATCTCTCTCTGCTTCCCCTTTCCTCTCTGAAATCAATAAAAATATATGTTTTTAAAAAGAGCATTTTTAAGTGGCAAAGAGCTGCATGAATAAGCATGAGGGGCTGGCGTCATATCTAAAGATGGACGTTGTACACTGACCAGCTTACCCTGCCTGGCCAGAGTGGCGAGGCATTAATATACTCAGCGTTACCTTAACCTCAGCCGGCCAATAGGGCTCCAAGTTGTGCCTCCTTCTATTTCAAGCTCTTCCAAGAGAAAGTAATCTAGGAAACCACGCCCCACCCCCCTCATGTTTTCTTCCATCTCTCCTCCCTCAAGCCTGGCCCCCTTCAAGGCAGCGACAAGGCCTGATCTGTCCACTACGGTGAACCCAGCATCCAGTGCTCTGTTTGCTCACGGACACTGCAGGAAATGAGAGTGAGTGAGCGAGTGAACGAACAAGAATCTCCACATCTCTGCCCCACGGGTTCCCAACACTGAAACCCCTCCTCCCCCCTCCCAGCAGGTCACCTGGTCCTGGAAAGCTTTAGGGGACCCTCCCTCCAGCCTTCCTTCCTCTGTCCCCCTTACAGCGCGGGTCCCTTTCTCACACCACAGCCGGGAGGGAATGACCAGAGGACAGTGGAATCGTTGCTTTTATCTGTCTCCCAGATCAGACCCCCAAGTTCCTGGAGGGGAGGGGCAAGGCCTCATGCATGCTTGTTCCCAGCAGTGTCTGCAGAGCTTAGATGGAGAAGAACCTCAGGGCAGCCCTCCCCATAAAGGAAATGGGTCTGAAAGCGCATGTGCAGAGCAGACCCTTTATACTTACGGTGTTTTAAGGGTGACTTCAGGGCAAAGGAACAAAGAACACATCCCCAGCCCTAACCGGTTTGGCTCAATGGATAGAGCATTGGCCTATGGACTAAAGGGTCCCAGGTTTGATTCCCGTCAAGAGCATGTACCTTGGTTGCCAGCACATCCCCAGTAGGGGGTGTGCAGGAGGCAGCTGATCGATGTTTCTCTCTCATCGATGTTTCTAACTCTCTATCCCTCTCCCTTCCTCTTTGTAAAAATAAAATATATTTTTAAAAAATATTTAAAAAAAGGAAAAAAGAAAAAAAGAACATGTCCCTTCCATGAATGAGCTATGGTGTCTGCCAGCTCTGCTCTGCCCTGAGCCCTGGCACCTAAGAGCAGGATGGCCCATGCTTGGGGAGCCCTTCGGGAAGGCCAGTCCACCAGTCCACGCGCTGGCCACGCGCAGCCGCCGGACGAGCAGAGCGGCTTCATGTACCTGCGGTGGGGCCCGCGGGGCTGAGGGGCAGCTACCGTAGTTTGAACGAAACGTGCAGGACGACTTGTTGATACTCTTACCTCAAACAGAGGAGTTTGGGCTGGCTGGCTGAGGAAGAGCAGCGATTCCCCCACCCCCACCCCCGGGGCCATGGGCAACTCCTCCCAGGACTCAGCGCTGAGGCGGGAGAGGCCCCTGGACCTGGGCTGGGGAGACCAGCCCTGGGCGCTGCACCTGGGGCGCCGCACGGCGGGGATTGGGGGGGATGGAGGGGGGGCAGAGGGGGCTCCCGTTCCATCCGGATGGGGCGGAGAGGGGAGCAAGTCCTCCAGGCCGGAGCGCAAAAAGGGGTCTCCGCGCATCACCCACGCCCGGAGTCACTTGGGGGAGGGCGAGCAGGGAGCAGTCCCCCGGGCGCCGGGCGCCCGCTCCCCGCGGGAGGAGGGAGGGCGAGGCGCCCAGTTCACAATCGCCTCGCTAGATGGAGACGGAGCCACTGCGGCGGCGCTGGCGGGGAGCGCGGGCGGGAGCGGCCGGGCGGCGGGAGGCGGGCGAGGCTCACGTCTGTTTTCCTTTTTCGTGCATTATTTATCTCTCCTCCGCGGCCCTGCCGCCCGGGCGGCGCTCCCGGCCGCGGCTCCCGCGGCTCCTCCCGCGGGCGGGCGAGGCGGACCGGGAGAGCTCCGCACCCCCGCGCCCCGCGCAGCCCGGCGGTGCCCCGGAGCGGAGGGCGGGGACCCGGGAAGGGCGCCGGGTCCCGGTCCGGTCCCGGGGGCCTGGAGGGGACTTTCCCCGCCCTCGCCTCCGCCCCGCGGCCCGCCGGGCCCTGGACGCCGGGGGCCGCGCCTCCGGCCCTGCGCGCTGCCGGCCGCGGCGGGGAGCCGCCCCGGAGGCCCAGCCGCGCGCAAACTTTTGCTCCGGCGCCGGCGCTCCTCCCGGCACGCGAAGCCCCGGCGCCCGCGCAGCCGCCGGGGTGAGGACGGAGGCTCCGCCTAGAGGGCGGGGGCCTGGGGAGGCGGCCGGCTTTAAATGGGGGCCGGCCGGCGGCTCCGGAGTCTGCAGCGGGGGGAGCGCACCTCCCTCCGGCGCGCTGGGATCGGCCCGGCGGCCCCAGGCAAGGTGGGGCGTGCGGCCCGGAGGGAGGGGGTCGGAGAGGGAGAGCTGGGGGGGGGTTAAGGGGGGGTGAGATCGCGCTCCGGGGCGGGAGGCGGGGCCCGGGGAGCGCGCCGGGTGAATGGGGTGCGCACGGAAGTGCAGAGGTTGCGGTGTGCGCAGGGGGAGCGGCGGGGCGAGGAGGGTGCGCGCGGCGTGTGACTCCCCGGTGCTGTGCACGCAGCAGGGTCAGCGGGTGTGCGGGCAGGGGCCGGTGGGTGTGCGCGGCTGTGTCTGTGAGTGTGCACCCGGGGTGAGGGGTGCCCGCCGGGTTTGAAAGGTTCCAACTGCGGGAGTGAGTTGAGCCCGGCTGTTTCTGGGTGATTGGTGTGCGGGGCTGTGTGTGGAGGTGCGCTCAGGGCCGAGGTGTGCACGCGGGGCTCCGGGCAGGTGCCCGGGGGCCAGAGGTGCGCACAGGATTCCGGGGATGGGCGTCAGGATGGAATGTGAGTTCTGGGGTGCCGGCTTGTGTGAGTGTGCGCGCAGGGTCTTCGAAGGTGCAAACTGGAGGGAAGGGGCAAGCTGGATTTACGAGGGGCTGTGGGAGGGGGGCATGGGGGTCCAGGCGGCGGGGCGTGCCTGCCCAGCCCGGACCGCTACGTGTTGGAGTGCGCGCCCGCGATGGTGCCCGCGCCCGCGGCCCGCCGCCTGACCCGAGCTTTGCTCCCCTGACAGTTCGCCCCCAGAGAGAGCGGGTGCCGCGGGCCGAGATGCTGCTCCGGGACCTGGCGCTGCGCCGCGGCGGCTGCTGGCCCTCCCTGCTGCTGCACTGCGCGCTCCACCCGCTCTGGGGCCTCGTGCAGGTGAGCTTGGCGCGGGGGGCCGGGCTGCACCCGTTTGGAGACCTCCCTGGGCGAGACCCAGTTGAGGGGCGGGATGTCCCTTCACTCCGACCCCAGCTTCCTGCAGCCACCCCTCTGTCCTGGGAAGAGTTTATGTCAAGAAAGGATGCCAGGCCTCCCCATACTCCGGCCTGGAAGAGCTAGGAAACCCCAGGGGGAGGCTTCGGCTGGGGCCTAAGACCTGCAGGACAGGGCCTGGGAACCGGAATGCCTTCTTGGTGATGACGCCTGATTGCAGAAATGCCGGGAGAGAAACCTTCGAGCTTTTGCAAACTTGAAAAGAAAAGGATCCCAAGAATATACATCTTTTAATCTCCCACTAGTCAACTTCCAGGTAGCCTTCAGCTGGACGTCAGCACGGGAGAGGCTGTGTTTGGTGCAGGGAGTGGAGTTGGGGACGTGGACGGGTTGTAAGTGGTGGCCACGCGTGGAGAACGTAAGAAATGACCGTCCATCTGTAAGCATCGCCTGAGGATGGACTCCTCACCCTGGGTCCCTGGACAGAGGCCAGGCAGCCCCCAGCTGGAGTTACTTCTGTTAAGTCAGAGAGGGGGTTCGACAGGATGGTCCCCCGTGCCTCCCAGAACCGACTTGGTCACTGGAACAGTGGACTGGTGAAGAGGCCCAGCCCCGTCCCAGCTGGGCAACGTTAGGCAGTGCATGTAACCTCTCTGATCTTTGGTTCCTTCTTCCTGACTGCGCTGTCACAAGTACTTGATGAGATAAAACACATATAAAGACTACTTAGCACAGTGCCCAGGCCAGAACCAACACCGATGGTGGCTGCTGCGGCCATATTGATATTAGGACTAGCCAGGTGCTCTTGATCACTACAGAGTCTGTCCCGTGTTTTTGAGTTGTTAGTGGCTCAGCAGGTGCTGGAGGACATTTTTACCGTTTGTGGGGCATCCCAATACTCCACTCTGGGTATTTGAGCTTCACTTCCGGTGGCATTTGGGGGAGGGTTGGGGATGATTCAGAACGGGTGACAGTCCACCGAGGAAGGGATTGGGGAGACTGCTTGCCCGTCTGCCGTGGTCCATGGGCCCTGCTGGGAGCCAGCTCAGTCTGTCCCGCCCGGAGGGTGGCTGAGTGAGCACAGGGAGAGAGCCAGGGCTCTGACGCTGGGCCCGGCATGCTGGCTGAGTGGGCAGGCCGGCCAGGATCCACCACCCACCCCAGCACCAGGCCTGCCTTCTGCTCCGTCTCTGGCTTGCCTCCGCCTCACTCACAATTGTTTTCCTTTCGGAATTGACAGCTTTGTGTAATGTGTGAAACTGCAGTTATTAAACTCGGCTCTGCCTCCTCGGGATGCAGGGTGTTGTCACTTTTAAACACTCAGGTGGTTGGGGACCAGCTTCCCTGGTGCAGCCTTAAACGGAGCCCCAGGCATTCAGTTCACATGGTGTTTGTTTGCGTACAGTTTCCCATAAGACTTTTCAGCGAGTGTGGAGAGCCACAGGACGGTGTTGTCTGTTGGGTAGAGACAGGAGACCCCCATCACCACCACTCCCACCACCCCCACCTACTCCCCACCACCTCCCTACCGCCCTGCCACCACCACCACCATAAGAAATCATTTTGTGAAAACAGCTTGGTTTTTCAACAGTGTCCTTCAGCTAGACAGTACTTACACATGCGTGTGTGTGTGTGTGTGTGTGTGTGTGTGTGTGTTTGTGCTTCAGATGCTATTGCTCAATACAATCAATTCTTGTGCAAATCAATTAGAAAAGGAATCCTCTAGACAAGTAGCATGGATAAAATCTTGGCTGGAAGCTCTGGAAAAAATTAATCTACAAATGATAAGGACTGGGAAGGCAAGGGAAAAGGGCTTTGGAATGGATGGGTCTGTTTTTTGTTTGTTTGTTTTCTTTTTAAGTAAAAGAGCTGAATCTGGAGGGACAGAAGGGAGAAGAGGAAGAAATGGAAGTGCATGCAGCCATGTAGGTCCCTTTAAGTGGGGACTAAGACTAAAATCTGTCTCTTCGTCGGAGCTCCTCGGAGGTAGAGAAAGCGCTCAGCTCGCTGTGCTTTCCTGAGCGTTTTGCCAGAAGACTCCCCCGACATTGTGAGCATTTGGATGGGGGAGACGGACGTAACAAAGTCCTCTAATTATTAGGCTAAACGGGGAAGGGAGAGACCTGTGTCCCCCAAAGCACCTGTCAGCCCCCCGAAGCCTCTGCCTCTATGATGAGAAACTTAGTCATTAGTGTCAGATGGCATTTAAAGTGCCGCAGGTTGGTGTGGGGGCACCCGCCAGCCTCCCCCTTTTCTCCTTAAATGTGTCTCTGGAATCGAGCTTTTGAGCTTTTGTGATTTAGGGTTCTTCTGAGTTCACTTCCAGATGATTCCTTTTTTTTTTTTTTTTTTTTTTTTCAAGCGAAGAGGATGACAGGCTGGCAGATGTATTAGGTGTGACAGGAGTGTGCCTATCAGGCTACTGTGGTGCTGGCCTGTCACCATAAAAGATGCCAGGAGCCATCATCTTTGTGGGTGACCTCCTGAAGCCATCATCGGGGAGACAGGCTCGGATGCCAGCCTACGGGTCTTCCAGGGCTGACCCAGTGCCACCCCCAGGCCCAAGCAATGCTGACCTCCCGCTATGGCCAGTCACTACAGCTTCACTTACGTACTCAGCAGCACTGATTGAGCGCCTACTGTTTGCCAGGCCCTGTGTAAGTGCAAGAGACCTCGTGATCCTGGTCCTCAGGGCATCAACAGTCTGGCACTGGAGAGATAATTAAACAAGTAATTAGAGGCGAGATAGCGCAACGGGAGCAAAAAGCTCAGAGATGGGATCTGGGGGAAGGGACCCATGTGGTGCTCAGCTGAGACATGCCAAGGAGGAGTCTGAGTCGGGGGCAAGCCTGGGGAAGGTGTGCAGGCAGAGGCAACAGGAGAGAGGGTGAGGCCGCTGCTCAGAGCTACTACCGTTGTATCTTGCAGTTTGGACTTGATCCTGGGGGGCTTCAGGGATTCTCAAAGGTTTTAAGCAAGAGATGGCAATCTCAGGCTGGCATTTCAGACTCTCAGTCCGACTCCAGCAGGAAGGATGGATTCGAAAAGGGGGTCAAGGCAAGGGTCAAAGAGGCTGGTGGGGGTAGTGCTGCCAGATTGAGCAAATAGAAACACAGGGCATCCGGTTAAATTTGGGTTTCAAGTCAACCACAAATTGTTCTTCAGCATAAGTGTGTCCCATATAATATTTGGTGTTTATACTAAAAAAATGGGTGTTTGTTTTTCTAAAATGTAACAGGGTGCCCTATATTTTACATGGCAAGTCTCCGTGAGAGAGAGGATGGTTCGGGTGGTAAGGGGGAGACGTGAATGGACTCAGTGACGATGTAGGAGGCAGTATTCCCTGGACCAAAAGCTGTACTGATTGGCCAGGAATGGGGACTGGCAGCGTGGAGCACCTTGTCCCCCAGGCCTCAGGGACAGGTACCACGGCGGCTGCAGGACCTGCCTGTGCCGCAAGGTTCTGGCCCCAGGAGAACACTGCCGAGCAGGGGAGGGAAGGCAGGCGGTGGCAGAAGTGGAATAAACACTCGTCCTAGGAAGCAATGGTGCCAGCTTTTGCTCTGAGGGCTTTAGGCAAGTCACTGAGCTCTCTGGGCTCTGCTCCTCCTTGGTCAAGTCCAGCTACCAGTAGGTGACTCCAAGGGCACGTTTCTTCTCCTTGTGGGACTCCCTAAGCTAGGGGTCGGCAAACTCATTAGTCCACAGAGCCAAACAGCAACAGCACAACGATTGACATTTCTTTGGAGAGCCACATTTTTTAAACTTAAACTTCTTCTAATGCCTCTTCTTCAAAATAGACTCTCCCAGGCCATGGTATTTTGTGGAAGAGCCACACTCAAGGGGCCAAAGAGCCGCACGTGGCTCGCGAGCCACAGTTTGCCGACCACGCCCCTAAGGTATAAACCAACCAAGCCAGGTATTGAGACACAGTCCCAGCACTGAGGAACTTGTCTAAATGCAACACCACCAAACCACAGAACCTCAAAGTGGACTCAGGTTTGGGGGGAGGGGGGCAGATCCTGTGTTTCTACACTGGTGGGCGGGTCATCTCAACACATCAACCGAATGCCAGGCCTTGTGCCACTCTAGTCAGTTCCTTACTCATGATCCTGCCGTCCCCCCCACTAAGTGTGGATGGTCGCTCCTACCTCTCCCGGTTATCCTCGTGGTGACATGACAACTGTCTCCCGTGGCTGACACACAGTAGGGCTCAGGCGGTCACACTTGATCAGGATGAATACAGCACAGACTCATTTACCTGCCAGCTTTAGTAAGGAAGAGGTGTTGGTGGTGGTGGTGGTGGTGGGTGGCAATCATTATAAAGCAGCGGGGATGATGCCCCCAAAGAGAAGGGCTTACCAGGTGAAGAAGCATCCCTGGGCAGCTGGGTCTAGTCTGGGGTGCCCTGGGGTTGGGATGGCTTACCGGAGAAGGCTATGCTGGAACTGGGTCTCAAGGATGAATAGAAGTTGGGAGGTAGATAAAGGGTTTGAGGAGCCCTTTAGCTCAGTGGCTACTGGTTTGCACTGGACCAGACTCCAGAGAGGCGCCCACGCAGGGCCCACCCCTCAGGCAGAGGGACCGCCGGCCCAGCCTGGATGCTCTGGTGATGACGGTTGGTTAAGCAGCTGGGCCGGCCCCTTTCCAGTGGGGCCATGGTCAGAGACACCACAGCTTTCTAAAATGCTTCTTCCCCCTGCAGCCCGGACCCTTGGCCCTGGCCCTGCCTATAATTCCATCACATTAAACGCTCACACATCGGAGCCCTCATATCCTCTCCCCAAAGTGGGTCATTGTATTGGGCCAGGTTAAACGGTCGGGCTGCTCTTGAACTCACCGCGTACACTGCACTTGGGAGCGTGGGAAAGCAATCGCCTTGGCAGTGGCACCCGTTGCTTCAAGTTCACACACTTGATAGAGGCTCTGGAGCAACCCTCCGGAAGGTGGGGTCCAGAGGAGGCGGGATGAGGGGGGCGTGCAGAGTTCATCATCCCCTTAAAGTAACTGAGAAAAGGCTCCCCTCAAGGTTCTGCGTTTCCCAGAGGGAGACAACATGGCGGTCCAGAGTCTGAACCGCAGTGGGTCCTTAAAAACGAGAAAAGGCGGTGCGCAGGGGCGGCTGGCCTCCCCGATGTTGTCAGGGCTGTCAGTCAGCCCACCTCCCGCTGCCACCCCGGCCTGTTCACCTCTGCCAACGCCAAGAGCGCCCCAGCCCTGCGGGCCCGGCCCTCTCTGCTGGGCCTGGGACGCGCAGCGGGGTCTGCGCTGGCCTAAGGCAGCCGCCCGCGGCTGGTTGCAGGGAAATGGGGGTTCTGGGGTTCTGCTCACTCAAGATGACAGCCAGAGGAATTCGCCGCGGGCATGATGGATCATATTGATGCGGTGGGGGTGGGGGTGGGTCCACCTCCGTTTTCCTTCACGCCTTTCAGTCCGCTTGTTCCCTGGGACGGGCCTCGCGGATGCTCGCACCCCGGCGCAGGGAGGGCCGCGGGCGGTCAGTCTACGGCAGTGGTCAGCAAACTCATTAGTGAACAGGGCCAGATAGCAAGAGTACAACGACTGAATTTTCGTTTGAGACCCAAGCTTTTTAAACGTAAACTTCTTCTAACGCCACTTCTTCAAAATAGACTCGCTCAGGCTGTGGTATTATTTTGGGGAAGAGCCACACTCAAGGAGCCAAAGTGGCTCTCAAGGTGCAGTTTGCTGACCACGGGTCCACGGCCTCCGTTAGAAGTGTCTCCTGAAAGCTAAACAAAACACTCCTGCCTGGCTGCCCCTGCAGAGCCTCTGATTAACGGATCCCGGGGGAGGCTCAGGCGGGAGTGCTTTTATCGCTGCCCGGAGGATCTGAGGTGCAGCCGGGGTGGGTCGACACAACCACTCCCGCCACTCTTCCTAGTGAATGGGCAAGGGTACTGACATCAAAAAACAGACCGGGAGTCAAGAGGGGTGGATTCTGGTTCGGTTTTTTAATATTCATTCATTCATTTGTTCATTCATTCATTCACCAGATATTTATGAAATGGCCGGCGTGCTTTAGCTAGGTTATGATAGTGAGAGACGAGGGCTGGCCCCCGCCCCATAGATCTAACCGTGTAGACGGACAGGAAGCAGAGATCACCCACATGTCTGCCCCCCAGAGCCGGAAGATCCTGCTAAAAGGAGATCTGACCAGGGGAGGTGCTAGCCAAGCTGAGGAATAGGCCAGCGGGTGAGGGGGAGGGAAGGGGTGCGAGAACCTGTGAGAAGGGAGGGGTGTGGCCAGGGCTCAGAGTGGAAGAAGGGTGCTGAGGGGGAGGCAGAACCCTGTGGCCCTGATCCCCTTGGCTGTGGGCAGGTAGGCATTTGGCATTTGGGGGGAGGAGGAGGGAGGGGTGTGAGTGGCCTGGGCGGGTTTGTTTCACGCAAAATCCTTGGGCTCCCCTTGGTCATGTGGCCACCAGAGCAGACGCCGCCGGCCGAGGAAGGTTCCCCCGCAAGACGGAGGGCCCTGGCCTTGGCCGTCCAGAGGCGTCGGGGGCTGTGGTCAGAGAGGAAGGGGCAGCTTGGCCCTTGTTCCGTTGCCAGAAGCCTGGGGAAGTGGCTGGGCTGCACCCTGAGGGTGCAGAGTCCGTATCCTGTGTCATCGGGTGAGAGACCCTCGGGCAGCCACTTCTCCTGGGCCTGTTTCCTCATCTGTCTGAGGGGGAGAGTCTAGGAGTGGACCTTCAGGTTCCTATCCACCCCTTCATAATATGGAAGCCACCCATGACGGTCCCCTCGCCGGGCCCTGCCAGCCTCCCCTCTCTTCTCTCTGAGCCAACCCCACGTCGGGGTCCAGCCTGGCAGGCGGGGGGTGGGGGGAGGTGGCATTTCTGCTCCCCGTGGCCTCACTGTCTTCTCTCGGGCACCCGTGCCCGTTTCTGCAGGTGACACAGGGCGAGCCCCAGAGGTCCTGCTCCAAGGTGACGGACAGCTGCCAACACATCTGCCAGTGCCGGCCCCCGCCCCTGCTGCCCCCGCCACCCCCGCCCCCACCGCCTCCCAGGCTCCTCTCCGCCCCAGGTAAGGCCAGGCCGGCGTGTGTCCGGTTCCTCCGTGTGCTCCCCGGGCCGGGAGAGCCCAGGAGCGTGGCAGAGGGCAGCCCGGCTCCTCTGTAATTTTCCACCGGCCGAGCAGGAGGGCAGCCAAGGCCCAGCTTCTCCCTGCAGCCTGCGCCGCGCCCGCAGAGCCATCCTGAGAGCGGGAGAAGGATGCGCCTCCACCGGTTAATCAGATAAAAGTCAGTCTCCATTTGCTGAGAGACGCGGCCGCAGGCCCAGGGCACCGGTCTTGTGTACCCCCCACCCCCACCCTCACCCCCCCAACGCACACGCTCTCGGGTTTTCCACGTTAATTCTGGTTTAAGGAGGCACTTAGCGCAGAACCGAAGGGAAGGCTCCGGGAGCTAAGTGACCCCTGCCCCCGCCCCTCCCTCGCTGGCTCTGACTTCATCGATGAACAATTTGACTTCCTGGTCATGCAAACAGAGGAGGGTTAAGTTCCCTGCCTCCAGTCGCCTCCAGACAAGGTCTCTCTCCAGTTGGGTCAATCGCCCCTCCCGTGGGCTGTAGAATGCCTGCCATCGTGTGGGGCTCTCTGTCGGTAAACACAAGATCGTGCTTTCAATAGTCTTGGCCACGCGCTGCTCTCTGGTCGGCTGTGGGGCCGGGTGCTCGGGGTGCAGGCGCTGATGCAATGTTCTGGGGGATCTTTGCCATCACGGGCATTTCTGTGTTTTGTCTGCTGGGCCCCTAGCTGTCTCCGTGCTCACCTGACACCTGTGGGGCCCTCAGCATCGCCCGAAGCATTTATTTTAAGTGCCGCTCAGGGTCCTGGCCAGGTTGCTCAGTGGTTAGAGCGTCGGGCCACAGACTAAAGGGTTGCAGGCTTCATCCCTGGCCCTGGTCAGTGCACATGCGTGAGGCAACCAATGGATGTGTCTCTCTCACATCAGTGCTTCTCTCTCTGTGTTTCTCCTCCTCCCTTCCGCTGCCTCTAAGAATCAGTAGGGGGCTGGTGGAGTGGGCATACCCTCCGGTGAGGAGCAACAAAACAAAAAAGGAAAAGCTTCAGGGGCCCACTCCACACCCACCAATCAGAGTCCTTGGGGCGGGGCTTAAGGAAGCAGCTTGATAACAAGTGCCCTGCCCAAGTGGTTTGGCCCCCCGCTGCAGGAGTCTTCCCTCCCAGGATGCTCCCTCCTCCTCTCCCCTGAAGGAATCCCTGAGCTGTCTGTGGGGCCCAGACTCAGGTGCCTGCCCTTGCCGACCACCCTGCTCCCTTCCTTTAGAGTTTCCCTCCCCCCGCTGCTGGGGCTCCAGACCTGTGCTATCTGAAGGACCCCCAGCCCCAGGTCGAGGCCCTTCCATCCATCTCACGGAAACCCTGTGCCAGGCACCGGGAGGGACCACACTGGTCTTCTGGGACCCCTTCGCTCCAGGGAGGCCCCCTGTCCGCCGCCTACTTATTGTGATGGTCACAGTCGTTCCTACACGTGATACTGGTCTTTCCATGGCAGTCCTTATGGCAACTTTTCTTTGTAAATTGATTTGCATAATCACAACAGCGAGTCCATTTAAAGAAAAAGGGCAGCCATCAGGAGGTATTTTGGAAATGGTCAATGACATTTGGCAAACAAGTGACACACAGCAGAGACCCATCTTGCAGCGGCCTGAGCAATACCAAAACCAGGGAGGGAGCCAGGCTGGTGGGGCTCAGTGGTTGAGCGTCGACCTATGGATCAGGAGGTCACGGTTCAATCCCCGGTCAGAGCACATGCCCTGGGCGCACGTTCGATCCCTAATAGGACAGGAAGCGGCTGTTTCTATCTCTCCCCTTCTCCCTTCCTCTCTGAATTCAACAAAAACATCTTTTAAAAAAATGTGACATGGGCTCCTTAAGTGCTCAGTGATGGAGTTTCTTTTGCCTAAGCAAGGCGGAGTCCGAGCAGGTGGAAGCCATGGCCTCGGAGGATGCTGCTATTCCATCCCCGGATAGAGGAGCGCCAGGGAATTTGTGAACATTTAAAACCACGCTACCTGCCAAAACCGGTTTGGCTCAGTGGATAGAGCATCGGCTTGTGGACTGAAAGGTCCCAGGTTCGATTCCGGTCAAGGGCATGTACCTGGGTTGCGGGCACATCCCTGGTGGAGGGTGTGCAGGAGGTAGCTGGTCAGTTTCTCTCTCATTGATGTTTCTAGCTCTCTGTCCCTCTTTCTCTCCCTTCCTCAGTGTAAAAAAATCAATAAAATATATTTAAAAAAAAATAAAACCACACCACCCTACACACACACACACACACACACACACACACACGGACGCACGCACGCACGCACGCACGCACACATGCACACACGCACAAACACACACACTCTTTGAACTTTCCTTTGCCTTTATAGCAGTCACCCCACCCATACCCTATCTAATTAGTCACTTGACTTATGCCTCGATCCTTCGCTAGAGGCAGACAGCGGCCATGTGCCTGCTTGTCCGCTTAGAGCCCAGCCTGGCATGTCAGGTGCCACTCACTCATTCCCTTTGCGAGGGTTTGTGACTGTCTCCTCTTGCCAGACGCTGGCTGGGTTCTGGGAACGCCATGGGGATCAGGCCAGCCGGGTCCCTGCGGCCATGAGGTCGTAGCTGGCTCTCTGCGTGCGCACACGGGGGAGGGCGGGTGGGGGCTGGGACAGAAGAACAGACCACAGACGTCACCGGGAGGATAGAAGGCAGTGTGTGCCACAGGGTAATGAAATGATGGGAGGTGATGGGGTAACTGCGGGGTCACCTGCACTGCATGGTCTGGGCACAGGAGATGACATGTCAGCTGAGCGCCGGCTGAAGGATGGAGTCTGGGGGAAGGTCGTGCTCAGCGGAGGGAGCAGCAAGTGCAAGTTCCTCAAGCAGGAAGCCCCCGGGGTGGGTGCGTGAGGGCTGGCTGGCTGCTGGGTGAAGGAAGGCAGAGGCCAGACCATGCAGGCTCGGGCCTGGAGGCTGGGGAAGGGGCTGGGCTTGCTCTTTAGCTACAAGGAGAGCCTCTGAGGGTTTTGAGCAGGGGAGTGGTGTGGCCTCATTGACCCTCTGCAGAGGCTGGCTCCCCGTGGGGGAGGCTGAAGCTTGGGTCCAGGAGAAACAGTGATGGAGGAGCCTGGATGTGGCCTGGGTGGGGTGAGGGGGAGGCAGCCACGGCAAGCCCTGGTCCGGTCTGAGAGGCTGGGGGTGGGGTAACGGGACGCTGATGGCTGTGGTGGGTGGGGCAGGGACGTCCCAGGTTCCATGCAGTGAACAAGCAGACGTCACTCCCTCTTGGTCCTCAGGATGCTTGTGAGCTCGCCAGTGGGCTAATGCAGACTGGGGGGGAGTAGGGGGGGGGGCGGATGCCCAAATGGGGTTAGCAGCAGCTCAGCGTCCCCCCGAGTGTGATAGTGGTTACCATTTTGACAGACACAATCTCTGGGACTTTAGGAAGGTCTGATTTTTTTCTGGGTTGTGACGAGTTTGGAGAAAGCAGAATGGGTGCAGCGGTGAGGCTGCCCCTGGGGACCAGCCTTCTCCTCGGGGCGCCAGGCTCCTCGGGAAAGAGGGTGAACCTCACAGCTCCGTCTTTGCCCAGAGGGAGCCGTGTGGGCGTCCAACACGGGCCATGTCATGTTGACTATCTCTTGCTTTGTGAGCTGTGTCCATGCTGAGTTGGTCCTCAATGTCGCCATGGGTTGGGGGTCTATGATGTCCATCATGTGTGGGAGGCAGGACTCCTGTCCTGTCACCCTGAGCCGCTTGCCTGGTCTGCGGTAGGAGGGCCGGGAGGCCGGGCCTGGCTCTGGCTCTGGCTCTGGCTCTTGCCAGCTGCGTGCTGGCCACTCACGCTCTCGCTCTCTGAACGTCCTTGTTCTTGTCTGCGCGTGAGCGGCGATGTCCCGTCCTCCAGAGGCGGTTGTGAGTGCCAGAAAGACAGGTGAGGCCTAGCCCAGCTCCCAGTTCCCCCTGACCCTCTGGTCAGCATGACCTTGGCTTTGAATGGACCTCTTCCCCCAGCTGCCTCAGCTCCCCCGTCTGTAAAACGGGCCGGCGCCGCCTGGTCCCACGCCAGCCAAGCCCCTGGGCAGAAGCATCAGACATGCTAAGAATGTTAATCATTGATGGCTTTCTTTCAAAAAGCCATTTTATTATTTTTTAAGCACTGTCTTTCCCTTCCCCAATTCAATAAATGGAATTGTTTGTCTCCCACTTAAATGCTTGTATCCAGCACATAAAAGATTATGGGTTTATGTGGACTCTAATCCACTCAAAAAACCTTTATCTATCCATTCATTGAACGAGCCTTTGCCGAGTGTGTGCCCTGCAGGTCCCGGGCCTCAGAGAGCAGTCACAGCCCGCCCTCGGGGACCCTGAGCCCTGGGTGCACGGAGGCCCCACCCAAGAGCTTTAGGGACGATGCCCAGCCCACCCGGAGGCAGTGATTCATGTAGGGATTGAGGTGGAAACTCGGCAGTAACCAGAGGCAGGAGGCAGAGAGGGAAGGTGAGGCGCGACAGACTTTGGGGCCACGTGAGGGAGTGGCCTCTGGTCCCCTCAGGACCGCTGGGCTGCCGGGCGGGGAGCCTGACCTCCCGGACTTTGGAGTCTTGTGAGGAGTCTGGGCTCCAGGATGAGCTGGCACCGGGCACTCCCAGCTTGGCAAATGCACACATCCATGTACTTCCTGGTGCTCGCGTCCTTGTACTTTTTTTAATTGAGATAAAAGTCACCATTTTCACCGTTTTGCAGCATACATTTCAGCAGTTTTTAGTGTATTCACAATGTTGTGTAACCATCACTATGGTCTAATTCCATTTTTGTCACCCCCCCAAAAAAAAATAATAAACCCTGTGCCCCCATATGAGTGCCTCGCCGAGTCCCTGACAACCACTCATCTTCCCGTCTCTGTGGATCTGCTGTTCTGGACACAACGTAAGCCCGGTGTTCTGCCCCGGCCTGAGCCTCAGTTCCCTGCCTGGTGGGGAGGCAGCCTCCTTCCTCTGTTGAGA